AACCCAAAATACTGATGACTAATATCAAGTAAAATAAATACAGACCAAAAAATCGACATTGAGGTTTGTTTTTTGGTAAATGAAATGTCAATATTGTGTCAGAGCCAGATATGTTTATATGGTGTGTCACCGATAAAAAGTAAACAACTGACAGACAGACGGACATATTGTCAATTTTCTGCCATATTTAGGATGGTGTGACTTTTACACAGTAGTTGATCATGCCAAGCTGATGTTGTTGTTGCTGATGTTTTTGCCAAATTTCCATATATGGTTGAAATCATAATCGTTGATAAATCAATAATTATTTTTTTGGTTGATTTTTTTGTCGCACAATTGCAAAAAATCGTGATTTGTCTCCGAAACACCTGTTGTGATTTTATAGTTTATGCCATATTAGAGCAACAAGTTACAGAAATTATGTTTTACTTAATAAGGTAAATAATGGTGACATGGAAAACAAAATCATGGACTTATTTTTTTTATATATATTTTTATTCTAGAAAAAAGTTCTAAAATATTTTTGTTTTGAAATTTTAAACAATACTTTACTTTGTTGGTTTTCCCATCAACTAATTTTGGTGTGATTTATTTTGTTTATCTTACCAGGTATTTTATTTTGATAACATTTTCCCATTTTCCCACCGCAAATAAAGTTCTTCTTCTTCTTCTACTTCCTCTTTCTCCCTACCCTAATCAAGTATGTGTGTGCCTATGTTAAAAATTTCAATTTGTTAATTTTTTTAAAAATTAAAAAAAAACATTTCCCATTAACCTTATCATTTTCCCCATGCCTATACCTTCGTCTTCCAACCAAAAACCTGTTTGCTATACAGGATGATGATGATGACGATGAGTAACCCACGCTTTGTTCTTGTTTTTGGTGTAGTAGTAGTGGTGCTGCTCGTAACCAATCATACCCACAAAAAAATGCCATTGAATCACAATTCTTTTTCCGAAAATAGTTATAAATTATTTTCAAGTATCTGAGCCGAACACTAAATCATTACAATTGTTAAAATAGTTTCGTTATCATTCGAGTATCAGAATTGGTTTATTTAAATCATCGCTTTGTTTGGTTTTTTGGTATTCAAAAGCATTTTTGCTGTGGTTGTCACTCGAGTTGTGTCATTAGGATCAGGGTGGTCGGTTGGTCGATCGATCTATATGACAAATGGTTGTGGCAAATGAAGTGACTCATTTTATCGTCAAATTATTAACCATTTTGAGTTAATTTTTTTTTTCAAATTTCATTATTTGATACGAATTTTTTTATTTATTCGACTGATGTATTATTAAGAATTTCTTAACCATAGAAATATGGGAATTGCGGTTCCAAAAAAGACAGATTAATTAATAATTCTTTGTTATATAATAAATATAACAACCACAAATTCGACTTGAGAAATTACACATTTTCTTAAAATAATCTAACCTCAAAAATTACATATATTAAAAAATTAACATAAAATTTATAGCATCATTTAAATTTTATAAGTGAATATATAGAGAAAAAAATTGTTGAAAGATACCCAGTTAACAATTTTTTTTTTTTTTTTTTGATTATTTTCCGAGTAATCTGCACATACTCAGAAGGGAATTTCAATTGTCTGTATATTATTAATAAAGAGAAATTTTTGGAAAAAAAAGAAAAGCAGTCAAAGGAACAATTTCAAAATTTGATTTTGGAAAAGAAAAAAATTGAAGAAAATATCACGTCAAACTATAATGACAAGGAAGAACTACAATGCCCGAAAGCCTTTTTATCATCAAAAATCCCGAAATACGTAATAATAGCAAGTTCAACTTGAAATGCCGTAATAGCCTTACAAAAATTGCAATCAGACGGAAATTTTTTTGTAAACTTTCCGCAAGAAAATTAATGAGATTAATAAATAGAAGCCTAATCCCCAATGTCCAAATACCCAAGGGAAGAAGGAATAGAAGCTTGTACTGGAATATATTTAAGTTATTGTAAAAAATTATTATAAAAAGAAAATGGATATTTATTTCAAATTATCGGAATATTCAGATTCTTTACAGAATTTCGCTTCAAACATCCAATAAATGATAAAAAAAAATACTAGAGTTTTTAAAGATTTTCAATAAAAAAAAACACCCGGTAATTTTCCGAATTTCAGATGAAAATTATATATTTTTGGAACTTCTGAAAAAGTATCCGAAAATGTTCCTATTTTCTGTCCATTTTCGAATGTTCCTTTAGAGTTTTTCCCCATATTGTGCAGAAAATCGAAAATTCCCTCCCATCAAGAATGTCGTAAAAATTACTATGATTTATATACAATTATACGAATTTCAGATCGAACACTCCATAATTTTCCAAATTTCAAATCAAACGTCCAATTTTTTGTTGAAACTTCTGATCAAATGTGTCTTTTTTTTGGAACTTCTGTTAAAGTATCCAAAAATTTTCCTATTTTCTGTTCATTTTCAAATGTTCCGAAATTGTGCAGAAAATCTAATATTCTCCCAAAAACTCCCTTAATTTCACACGAGTTTTTTTTTACAATTTCATTTAGAATTCGCGAAAAAATCTAATGTTCTTTCCGATTTTTCTCGACAAATCAGAAACATGTGCAGAGTATCGTTCCGAACTCGGAATAAACTCGGAAAACATTATTAGCTTGGTATATGCATTACAATTTTCGATTCAAAACCACGATAATTTTCCGAATGTCGTCTCAATACCCCGATAATTTTCCGAATTTTAGATCAAACCTCGGAAGAAGTATCGGAACATGTTCCTATTTTCTGTCCATTTTTGAATATTCCTTTAGAGTTTTGTCGGAAATTGTGCAGAAAATTGAATATTTCCTCAAAATCTCCGTTTATTTCCCCCACAAATTTTTAGAGTATCGTTCCGAATACGAAAAAAAAACTCAGTACAAATACAGTATAAACTTGATAATCCGGACCTCGACAATCCGGATTATTCGGTAATCCGGACTGCATTTCACAACCCATTGCGTATCCTATAATCCGGATTGATTGACCTATTTGACTCAAAAAACTGTAAAGATACGTTAATTTTTAATTTTAAAAAAACAAATTTAATTAAAATTATAATATTCAATGTTCATATTTTTGAAATGAATAATTTTCATTTTTAATAAAAACATAAAAATAATTAAATTATGACCAAATTAATATAAATTTAAACCAATTAATAAAAATCGATAATCCGGAAATCTCGTGCAATCAATTATCCGGATTAGCGAGTTTTTACTGTAGTTGTAAATATACTACGCCCTCTAAATGGAAATAAGTCCTAAAAAGAGAACTAAAACGAAATTTTATAATTTTAAACAATTAAAATTATAATTTACACGTTCGAAATTTTTACTTTTTCCAAGCACATTTGACCCAGCTATATGTATCGTTAAAACTTCAGTTTTCACTACCATTACTGAAATTTGCGATGGGACAAAAAAGCAAAAAAGTCATAATAATAGTACTGGGGCCTGAAAAAGCTTTTCCATTTTTTATTTTGCATGAAAAATCAATCACATATAACATTTTTTTGATCCAATTTACTCCCCACTAATTTTTTTATTTTCAAACTACTCATATTTACTTATTTTCACCACTTATTTAATATATTCTTTAACAAAAAATTAACTAAAATACCTGTCTGTTCAGGATATAATTGTAAACATTTCCATCATTGCATTTCCATCTCTTTCTGTACAAAAAAAAAAACACGATCATTCACTTTTTTCAGAAATACATCGATGATATTTCTACCTTTTATCTTTGAACCCTCATCAATGTATCTCTCTCTCCCCACCAACAAAAAAAGGGTGTGGAAAGTTGAAAATACTTATTATTAATTCCTGAAATATCATTGATTAGTCATTTCTTTTTTTCGGGTAAACACTACTGTTAACCAAATAACAAGGTTTTTTTAATTCGGAGAAGATTTTTTTGTCAAGAGTAAGAAAGGCAGAAAGAAAGACGAAAAAAAAACAAATCCGTACTGTTGCCCATCATGAGATAACATGGTTTCGTGTGGCTGTGGTAGTTGCTAGCTGTGAGTCACACATACCCAAAAGAAACAACGACAATGACTCTCAACAACAACATCTGTTGGGTATCCACAACACCACACAAACAAACAAAAAGACGTTTCAAAGAAAGTAAGGGATCCAATCAAAGAAATCAACATACTCCACCGCTCTGTCTTTATCTCTCTTGTACGCTGCTCTCAACATTCGTAGAGTTTGTTACGAGTGCGTTCGTTCGTGTTGGGGCGGGCGGCCACTCAGAGAGTCAGGGATAACCGGTTGTCGGTAAAAAAGTTAATTTTTTAAACATAACAGACAATAATAATACAACACTACTACTACTCCTCTAAGCAAAAAAAGCAAAGCACAGCAAAGGTAGGCAGGCAGGCAGCCACCTCATCACAGTGACAGAGCCAGCCACCAACCAGGTAAAAAACGAAACGAAACAAGATAGCATAAAAAATCATGGTAAATGTTGTTCTTTTTGAAATTCTCAATAAGAAATATGGCATAAAAATGAGAAATAGAAGAATATGGGAGGAAAGGGCAAGTGGAGGGGGGTGGTGGTTGTGTTTTAAAGAACGAACACAAGAGCTTAACAACAGCAAGAACAAAATCTTGTTAAAATTTGTAGGTATAAAAAATAAATAACTTTTTTTAGTGTTAAAATTTGAGTACTGACCTGATTTTCATGAGGCACCCACACCAAACGTTTTTGTGTCCATTCAGCCTGTGTGGCCGGATCATTGAATTGATTACGTTCCACCGAAAGATATTTCAATTCGGGATCGTTGCGATCAACTTCTTCAGCCATGGTGATTAGAGTTGGTAGTTGGTCTTTTGTTGGTTGTCGTTTACTTCGTTAAATGTCGGTTGTTGATGATTTCAGAATTTGCTCAATATTTCGTTTTGGCAAATTTAACACCAGAAATTTTAAATTTTTTGGGTTTCTATTTTTTGTTGATTTTTTTACTATTCTTTTTTGTTTTTTTATTTAAGACACAATGACGTTCACACAACACAATTAAAAAACACTTAATTTTGGTTTTCGATTTGAAATTGATTTTTAATTGATTGTAAGTTAAAAAAATACTATTTTATATAAAAAAATTCGTTGTCTAATCTAAACTCTAAAATAAAAGAAGAACCAGAAAATAAAAAAAAAATAAAATATTTTTTAAGGTGTGTCGCCACAGATTTTTTTAATTTTTTATTCATAAAATATTACTATTTGTCCCACAGAAATGTCAGACTACAATGAATATTGTCCCGAAAAACCGGACCTTAAAGGAAATCAAAAGAGAATCGTGTGCAGAACTAGAAGAGAACAGGGCCCTCTCTTTTTTTTAAATGAAAAACCATCTGACATTTCTTCACAACGTCGTCGGTGATGGTGATATGTTGCTGGCTTTTGCTGATTTTTTGCAGCTGTCAGTTGTCGGCAAATTTTTTATTTGTTTTACTTTATATTTCCAAGAACAAAAAATGTTAATACCATACTTTGAATGGTAAAACTTTGTTTAATTGGGCTTTTTTTCTTATTGGAATTTAATTTTTCACAATTTCACTCATTTATATTTTTTTAATTTCATATATTTTTATTTAATTTTTTTAAAGCTTGCCTTTTTACACAAATGAAAAATAATAACATAAAAAATGTATTTTGTTTTTGCTTCTTTTTTTTCTTTTTTCCAGAAAAATAAATTAACGAGTCACACAATAAAATAAATAAATTATCCACAATCCGTAAATCCAATTGAGCGACCGTCTTGTCACTCTGCACTTTTAAGACTGATTGAGCACAAACGTTTCAAGTAAGAGTATTTTTGTTCAAAATTGAGCAAGGCCAACCAACACTCAGCGGCGGCGGCAGCACAAACAACAACAACTATCAATGCAAAAAATGTATTTTTTTAATGTTTTTCTTTTTCTTAGCACTCACACAACGTACATGTGCTTGTGTGTGTGCGTGTGTTTATGTCGCGGCACACAAAAACCTTCGTTAAATGTCGGTCTTGTATGGAGCGTGCAAACAAATGCGTTTGTGTGCGAATGTGTGTGCTTGGTACAAAACCAGCCGTTCTTTTTAATCCGCACTCTTCTTCTTTATTTCACCAAGAGCCAATATTTGTTTTAACTAGCAAATTTATTACACACAATTTGTTTAAATAATCTCAGCACAATTCCAAACAATATTTTGTTAATCATTTCTTCTATTTGACAAACAAATTCTCTAAAAAGAAAACTATATCTTTGTTGCCTTTATTTCTCTGCTCACAAAATTTTGATGACTAAACTCTTTTGGATGGACGGTCTTTCTTTCTTATGCACACACAACACAACACCAGCCATAAATTATGTTTCTTTAGATATTTCACTTAATTTCTATTGAAAAAGTTTTTTATTTTTTTACACACACCAATTGAACATTTCTCATTAATCTATTTGCAAAAGATTACTAATTTTATTCACCCTTTTTAATTCTTTTTTGATCGCTTCAAAAAAATGCACAAAAATTCTTTCACTCTGACTGACAATTCGTTGTCGGCACTATTCTGGGCGGGTTTCGTTAAATATATGCATTTTTTCATTTGCACCAGCTAAACGTAAGCGAGACGTATGACAATATCATTTTGGAGGTTATACGTTATGTTTTTAATCAAAATATATAAAAATAGTGATTTTATATAAAAATAATTTAATGAAATATAACAACTAATAATAATTGTGTTTTCTTATTTATTTTTTTTTTATTGGAAACCAATAAATCATTAAATTTTTGTGATAAACGTTTGATGCTCAAGACGTAACGTAAAGCTTACTTATATTAGATCAACAGCCGGTGCGAAATGTCACTTCAAATGCCGGTCAGGGTTGTATTTATGGAAAACGTCTTTTGTTTCTGGTGGCATTTTTGAAAATCCGGTTTTTGTGTTATCTGCATTGGAATTCTGCAACAAGTTAACGGCAAAACAATTACAGAATATGTCATGTGCTTATAACTTCGCTATTTTGCAGTGTTTTTTGGTCGGTAAATTACTGACCAAAATTTCTTTTACATTCAATTACAAAATGTTCTCAGCAAAGCAAGGCAAGGTGTTTATTTGAATCCTGTGTTACCTTATAAATAGTTCATAGATTCGAACGAATTTAAGATGGTATAATAATAGGTAACAGCAAGTGTTGTTGTACAACAAACGATACAACAACCACATGGAAATTTGTTCTTGTAAGTTATACTAGTGTCAACGTTATTTGACAGAAAAATGTAAACAGACAAATTATATTTATTTTGAAATTTTATATTTTCGAATCCTCAAAATGAAATTGAAAAACATGAATGAAAATCTATAAAATTTCTATTGATTCCACATATTTCCTATAACTGAGCCATTGTCACTTATATGTGTAACACATATGAAAATGGTGGGAATTGCGAGTTATTCCATATACCTAGAAAGATTTGCTTCCTGAAAATTTCCCAGCAGGCAGGCTGAGTAAATTCAATATGGGAGGACATTTAATAAAGAACAATTTTGAGTTGTATGCGTTCCCAATTTTCCTGTTGGGTGATTTTTAAAAACATAATTTGTCATATTCATATTGACACTAGTATTTCGTTAGAATCAAATTAGCTGGGATGTGCTGTTAGTCCCAATTTAGATTAGGCGAGTTTACTTGCGGCAAGTCTTTGTTTGTAGGAGAGAGGGGCAAGGAGTATAGAAATGGAAAAAAATTGATCGTACCAACAATTTTCTGGCAATTCGTTTTGTGTATTTCGTATTTGTTGACATTTTATATATATTTAAATGTGAAAAAACAACAAATAAAAAAATATTTTGGAAACCGAATTGCCTTTTATAGACGCATGGAGCAAGTTCAAAAGAGAACGACAAGAATTGCCGCAAGTAAACTCGCCTAATCTAACTCAAGACGTACCTTTTATAATTGTACCATCGTATTCATTGAGGAAATAATGAATAAAACAGTTCACATGAATATTTTGAAACAAAATTTGAATCAAAGTGCTGAAAAACTCAACATTCGTGATAATTATTTCTTCCAACAATGATCCAAAACACACTGCTATTGACGTTAAGAATTGGATCGTATACAATACACCACACATGCTGAATACACTTCCACAAACCCCGATTTAAATCCAATTGAGCGCCTATGAACATCTAGATAAACGAATTCGAAATCATACAATTTCCAGTAAGGCCAAACTCAATGAAATACTACTAATATTACTTTAATTTTTTGTAGTATAGGATTGAATACATAAAATATATATTTGAAATTTTGTGAATAATTTTTTGAGGAATTACTGAATATTTTTTGACTTGTATGACTTTTGACTTTTGTTGCTCACTGTATATATCTCAAAAAAGCTGTTGGTGCAATGAGCTTTGAAAATTTTGTAATTTGGAACTAAAAAAATTAAAACAAATTATAAATGAAAATCTATTGGTGGATTTGTATATATATATATATATATATATTTTTCAATATATTCGGATTTCAGTTGTGTAAAAAAATGGTTTATATAACTTCATTTTTTTTTTTTTTTTTTGAATTTTTTACATATATAATCTCTCTAATATTTTTTTTGGTAATCGATTTTCGGTCTTTCTTAAAAAATCTATCTTGATTGTTGAAATAAGTAGAAAAAGTAGAATTCAAATTAAAATTATATCATAATCATTATAATATCGTGCAAGGTACAATACAATTTGTGTGAATACATGTGTAATAGTACGTTTACATTTAACCCGATTTCGTCGCATATATGTCAAATAAATCCTCATAAACAAAATCTATTAATAAGGACACCCAGCTAGCGAAAGTCAGCTGTTTTCTTTTTCTTTAGTCGAATGTCATTTGAGTACGTTTTCATAATGGAAATCAGTTCACAATAATGGATTTTGACAGCAAACTTAAGAGGCAGTTGATAACCAGCTGGACTCCCTGGACGGCCTTATTTATAGGCCTTGCTCATAAAGTAGGTTAACCTGCACGGCATATACCTTAGAACTTTTTACCGGATTAACCTGAAATGAGGATTTATTTGACATATATCCAGAGAAATTGACAATTGAAATCCACTGGGTTAACGAAATCCAGTTAAATGTAAACGTACTATTATGGAAGGTAGTCTCATGTGAGGAATTGATTATGGCAACCTTTATATGAATGTTACCAAAATACATCGAGCGTACAAAATTTCAAGTTGAACAATTCCAACTTTGACAGAACGTATTTTTTGTCTTTTTCTTTTGCTGGAAATAAAAACAAAACATTCAGAAAATATGAAATTTCGAATGTGGACATAAAATATTTGGATTAATTTAAAAAATTTCCAATTTTGTTTTGCGGGTTGTATTATTCGCTTCAAAATGTGGATTCGACGTATTTGAGTAATACGGCCGTACACAACATTTTGCAATCCTATTCGATTTTGTAGTGCAAACCTTGGGTGCCATTTTTTTCGCAACTTGGTACAATGTAAAAAATATACCAATTGAACCGTTTCCACGACAGAGAAGTCTACGATCCGAAACGACTCGGGTCACTTCAGCCCATTGTGTAAAAGCAATAGGGCTGCTACAACAACAACTAAATGAACACAACGACTTGTTGCATTTGTATTTATTTATTCGGACCATGATGCAATAATAAGGTGATGTATCACAACAACAAACTTTGTTTTTGTCTCGATTATCTGTCAAATTTTTCCATATAATATTTCAAATGGTTGGCAACACTGCACATCGAATCCAAGTAGAAATTACCCACTTTGACAGTTAATCAAGACATCAGCTGCGCTAAATGGACTACCTATTCATTGTGCCATGATTCCGACATAACAAGCCTCAAAGTGGAGTTGTATTTTTCTTTGTTGACAAAAGGTAAACTACCTTGTAATATTGCACCATGATTAAGATTTATTTTATATATTTTTTATTTATTTGACATAGATATATTGGATTTAATACATCCGGTACAATGTAAACGTACTATAAGCATCTCTAATTCCAAAAGTTGTAGATATTTCGGTATTTTCTCCCCTCTACTTCCATTTTGCTCCTTTTCTATGTTAAGCGGCGTGCACATTATAAATTTTTACCGGGTTTATGTACTTTATAAGGGTTTATTTGACATACACTGGTGGCCAAAACTAAAGCAACTGAAAATGACCTGCCATTTAAAAAAAAAAAATCAGTTATATAGTCGACTCCGCTTTACTGAAATGGAAAAAAATCAGTTATCCGATGTTTTCACTTAAGCGGAGTTCGGTTAACTGAAAATAATTTCATTTATCCGCACTCCGCTTAGTGGATTTTTTTCAGTTTCAGGAATTTCAATAATATTTTATATCGAATTTGTAGGACTGGAATTTTTTTGAAATATGCTTGGTCAAAACTAAAGCAACTTTTTGATTTTTTTTTTCATATAAATATGTAATTTTTGCTAGTAATCGCCAGCATAAACATTATTTTTCATTACGGCAGCACACCTACTAGGCATGGAATCAATAAAATGCTCAATTTGATCCTTGGATATACTATTCCTTGCATCCTGAACCTTTGCGAAGAGGTTATGTCTGTTCGTTTGTGAAACTCTTTCGATTTTGATATCTTTGATACTCCAAAGATTTTTCTATAGTGTAGAATTCTGATTTTTGACTCCCGCAACCAATCCTTGACATGTTTTGGTGTATGTTTGGTATATTTATTTACTTCAGCGAAGGGAACCATATCGTTTTCCAACACATTTGTATAGACAATATTGTTACGAATATAACTTTAGATTTAAGTTAATTTAGATGAATTCCGTTAATTTAAGAATTTGAATTGTAACGTAAATTTCTACTACGCAGTTTATTTGAATAACTTCACAACAACAACCACTGTATAGATTTTTCTACATCCTTCCATTTCCTCTTTCATTTTCTATTTTGTTATTGTCGTACAATTCTTGTTAAACGTCATTCCTCTTTCTTTGTTATTCCCTCGCCTGTATATGTGTTGTTGTTATTCCTCTTTCTTTGTTATTCCCTCGCCTGTATATGTGTTGTTGTTATTGTAAGTTTGTTTACTCAAGTTTGTTGTTGTTATTGTTCACTCAGTAAGTTTGTTGTTATTGTTACTCAATGTGTTTGTTGCATTGGTAGATTGTTCGTGATCTAGGTGTTACCAGATCGTCTAGAAACTTCTGTAGCGACAGGCAGGGCTCATATAAATAGAGGGAATGGAAAGGCAGTGAGTCAGTTGTGAATCAGATCGCGAATTGAAACCGTCGTGTAAAGTAAAGTGCAAAGTAAAGTTGTGTGAATAAAATCATTGTAATAATCGTAATCAGAAAGAACCCGCGTTTTATTTGGTACGAATTGTATCGGGAAATAAAACAACGTCTACACGGGATTAAGTAAAATCCAAGAACGTAACAATTGGTGTCGGAAGTGAGATTACGATAATACTACGATGAAGTTTAAGGATCTACGAGTGGAAGACTTGAAGAAGGAGCTGAATAAATTGGAATTGTCCTCTACTGGCAACAAGGCTGAACTACAAAAACGTCTGTTGGATGAGTTCGAGCGCCGTGGTATGAACATCGATACATATGAGTTTGACAGTAAGGATGAAGTGGATTTATCGGAAATGGGCGAATCCAACGGTGGGGAAGTCTCGTCAGTAGCTGCCAGGGGTGACGATTTCAGAGAAATGCTGGCTAAAATGTTCGAAGAGAATTCCAGAAACACGAGACGAATGTTCGAAGAGAATTCCAGAAAGTTAGAAGAAAACACGAGACGTATGTTCGAAGAGAATTCCAGAAAGTTAGAGAAAGTTAGATGAAAATTCGAGAATAATGAACGAGAAACTCGAGAACATTACAGAAGTTATTGGAAGGAGAGTGGAAACCGTGGAGGTCCAAATTAAAGAGTTGGATAAGAAAGTGCAGTCGGTTGACGAGAAGATTCTGTCTGTGGATGAGAAATTTCTGGCCCACGACCACAGGTTTACGAATCTGGAGAAGAAAATGTCGGAACTGGAAATTAAAGGTGGTCCGGTGCGAGTTCCTGATAACACACTAAAAATCAAACCTCCTGTATTCGACGGCTCTACGTCATTCAATGTTTTCAAGTTACAGTTCGAGACAGTGGCTTCTAGAAATTCGTGGAACGACAGCGACAAAGCGGTTGCACTACTTCTGGCATTGAAGGGCAGTGCTGCTGATGTTATACAGAGTATTCCTGTCGCTTCTAGGAACAACTATGAAGATGTTATTGCTGCACTGGAACGTAAGTACGGTGGCGAACATAAACAAAACATCTACCTTATGGAACTAAGGGGAAGAGTGCAGAGGGCAAACGAGACGTTACAAGACTTTGCAGCTGAGGTGGAACGTTTGGTGCTAATGGCGTATCCAGGAGAGAATCACCCATTGCTGGACCGTATGAAAATCGAAACCTTTGTGAATGGCATACGTGACCCTGAGATTAAATGTGCAACATATGCGTCACCAAAAGCGTCGTTTGCCGAAACTGTGTCGTTTGCCCTTGCCCAAGAGACGGCAAGAATGATTGTTAAGCCCCAGACCCACAAGATTAGCCAACTGGAGACCGAATGTTGCGAACACAAATATCTCGTTAACTTGATCAAGGACGCCATGAGGCGGGTAATAGAAGAAACAAAGTTAGTAGGGATGACTAAGCCCAGGGTTAGATGCTACAACTGCGATAAAGCAGGTCATATTGCGCGCGAATGCAGAGCTAAGCGCAAACGATCCAGGTCATCGTCACCACCTCCAACGAAAGATGGTAGAAGAATGGCTCAACAGTCCACCAATGAGTCACCGTTAAACAGAATCGAGCACAGAGAAGGCGGAAAACACGGTAATGCTGATGCCCTGTCTCGTCGGCCATGCAAGGTAGAATACAGGCACTGCTCAAAGGCCGAGTGCAAAGAGAATATCGTTGATGTCCGACGATTGCAGTTTGAGTCGGGTGAAGATTGGTCGACGGAACAACGAAGAGATCCCATTCTGGGCAAAATAATTTCGGCCATAGAAACGGGCAAGCGACCTAGTCGGAAAGAAATTACCTCCGAAAGCCCTCTTTTAAAATCCTATTGGGCCCAGTGGGACAGTCTACTTATAAAAGATGGTTGCCTATATCGCAAATGGGAAAGTGAGGACGGTAAATCTCACCGGAACTTGATCGTCGTCCCAGACTCCAAAATAAGAGATGTCTTGTCGGAGTTTCACGATGGGCCAAGTGGAGGACATCTTGGCATAGCAAAGACCGCTGAAAAGGTAAAGCAGAGATTCTACTGGGTCGGCTGTCAAAAATCCATTGCCGACTGGATCGCCAATTGTGAAAGGTGCATAAAAGCTAAAGGTCCAACACGGAAGAGTCGAGGCTACATGCAGCAGTATAATTCAGGAGCCCCTTTTGAAAGAATCGCAATGGATGTAGCTGGACCGTTCCCCACAAGCGACTCTGGGAACCGGTATGTCTTAGTGGTCATGGATTACTTCAGTAAATGGCCGGAGGTTTATGCTATCCCAAATCAAGAAGCCAGGACAATTGTGGATGTGTTCAGCAAAAATTGGATTTGTCGCTATGGTGTTCCATCTGAGGTTCATTCCGATCAAGGTAGGAATTTTGAATCAGCGATCTTCAAGGAAATGTGTGACTCCTACGGAATTAAGAAAACCAGAACGACGCCCCTACATCCACAATCAGATGGCATGGTGGAAAGATTCAATCGCACCCTTGAAGAACATCTACGGAAAGTGGTGGACAGTGGCCAACGAGACTGGGATGAGCATATTCCAAAGTTTTTATTGGCTTATAGATCGGCCATTCATGATTCCACATCCCGGACCCCAGCCAAAGTTCTGTTCGGAAATGAATTAAAGCTACCTGGCGATTTGATATTCGGTGCTACCCCAAACGACGATGTGAACCAAGATGAAGACAGCCAAAACTCTTTTAGTAAAGTCCACGATGCAGTCCGACATCGAATAAAAATGGTTAGCAACCGCATGAAGGCAAGGTACGATCGAGCGGCAAATACCGATGGGTTTCAAGAAGGGCAACTGGTACTATTGTTCAACCCACAACGAAAGAAAGGACTATGCCCCAAATTGCAAACGCACTGGGAAGGACCCTACAAGATTGTCACGAAAATAAATGACGTCGTTTATCGCATCCAGAGGAGCGACAGTCCCAGGTCGAAGATGAAAGTTGTACATTTGGAGCGGCTGACCCCCTACGGAACGGGAACTGTGCCTATTCGGGACGAACAGGCTTAAGCGGGGGGCAATGTTACGAATATAACTTTAGATTTAAGTTAATTTAGATGAATTCCGTTAATTTAAGAATTTGAATTGTAACGTAAATTTCTACTACGCAGTTTATTTGAATAACTTCACAACAACAACCACTGTATAGATTTTTCTACATCCTTCCATTTCCTCTTTCATTTTCTATTTTGTTATTGTCGTACAATTCTTGTTAAACGTCATTCCTCTTTCTTTGTTATTCCCTCGCCTGTATATGTGTTGTTGTTATTCCTCTTTCTTTGTTATTCCCTCGCCTGTATATGTGTTGTTGTTATTGTAAGTTTGTTTACTCAAGTTTGTTGTTGTTATTGTTCACTCAGTAAGTTTGTTGTTATTGTTACTCAATGTGTTTGTTGCATTGGTAGATTGTTCGTGATCTAGGTGTTACCAGATCGTCTAGAAACTTCTGTAGCGACAGGCAGGGCTCATATAAATAGAGGGAATGGAAAGGCAGTGAGTCAGTTGTGAATCAGATCGCGAATTGAAACCGTCGTGTAAAGTAAAGTGCAAAGTAGAGTGTGTCAATAAACTCATTGTAATAATCGTAATCAGAAAGAACCCGCGTTTTATTTGGTACGAATTGTATCGGGAAATAAAACAACGTCTACACGGGATTAACTAAAATCCAAGAACGTAACAATATGATCAATTACTTCATACATCTCGTAAATATATCGAACTCCATAAAAAGAAAAACAGCCCAATACTATTATTAACTAACTTCGTACTGATCAACAAAAATTTAGATGACAATTTACAATAATGTTTTTCTTGTTTAGTAAAAACTTACAAGTTTAACTATATTTATTAGTTTTTTTTCTCTAGCAAATATTAACAAGGCAATGGACATGTGTGTGTGTTAACATAGAGGATCATTAAACATACTTTCTCCCTGGCTCCTATGGCAAAAATGCATCAACCCTTACATGGAACGTAGATTAAAAAAACTTCACACCATAACTGCCATCCATTTCGATTAGTTCACATCTGCCCTTGTCTTCCAACAATCGTAAAACATTTACCAATACACTTTCGTCAATTCCATGAAAATCTTTACCCTCCGTCGATTCGCCATTGGCTATTTCGTACAGTGTGCATACACTCCGTGTTTGCCCCGTCTCCTGAATCCATTCGTAAATCATATTACCATATTCTTCAAGCGTATGCCAATACACTTGCCATTCCTGACGTTTCTTGTCCAACGGTTGGGCATGTCCGGTCCGTTGCAATTTCTCGAGAATTTGTAAAATCATCGATGGTGATAGACGTCGATTAAGAGATTCATTGTAATACAATGGAAATGATCCTTCGTTAATGTTGACTGTGAATTTATTCAAATGTTTCAGATATTTGAGAAATAAATCGGACCAAACATTTAGCTGCTGTTGTCGTGTTTCTTCGTGTGGCTGTAATCTGAAGGACAGTATATAGATAATAATATGAAAACTATAAAAGGAAGTAGATAATTACTTACGTGAAAAAGGGCGGAAAGGTATACTCCCAAGGCCACTGGAAATCCGTCATCCTCGGTTTTGTTGTCTGTGGCGACTTCTATGACTTATGATACGATGATAATGATTAGGTTGTCAGCTGTTTACTTCATTTGTTGTTAGTGTTGTGTAGCTCGTGAATGGGGCCGTTCAATTGACTGATTCTTTGAAATGAGCAAGTGAACTAGAGTTAATGTTTTTCACTGTAAAATGATTGCCAGTCACGATATTCACTGCCATATGATTACCCATGGTAACAAAGGCTGCTAGTTATGTACGCCGAAAATGTTAGCGGACTTTTATTCTTTTATTTGATATATACAAAGAAAATTATAACTGAAATAAGATTTAAATAATGATTTATCATAAAAAAAACATTTGGTGCAAATGTGTCCTTACAAATAAGTGGAATTTAAGTTTCAAATGGAGTGGAAATCGCAAATTTCTTAACGAGGCTAATAGATGTAAATGCGCTATTACTGATGTGGATTTTAGATCATTTCAAATGAGATCATTTCAAATCATTTCTTAAATGAAAATACAAGGTAAATGATTATACAAGGTATGTTTTGTCAAAAAGGAGTAAATACACCTCTACCTTATCGACAATAATTTAAAAAATGAAAACAAATGCAACAAGTCGTTTTGTTCATTTGACATATTTTCAACTTTTTACCATAACGCGAAAAATGGAATGTCAGGTTTTCTCATCAAAATCGAGTTGGGGAATGTTGTAAAATTCATCTCCAAACAAATAGATTTTCGAATATATTTTGTTATATTTTTCAAAACATTACACACACAGTCACATATTTTGTAAATGGCTTTGGTATTACAAGCCACAGTATGAAAAAATTGGAATTTATTGGTTGCTATGGCCTACCTTGAATAATTGTACCATGATATCGGTTAACTCCAATAAAATGAAAAGTAGAGAAATCTGATTTAATTTAATGAGAACAGTTGCAACTTTTAGTACTTTTTGGCACAAAAGTAGGATTGTATAGCGTAGTATGGTGTTTTCGTGCGTGACGCTGGAATCGTCATATATTTTTGCAAACGCTTTTCCATAGGTATGAAGAAAACAAATTTAATCAGTAGCATTATAATAATAACAAATAAAAAGAGGAAAACCCCATAATAACAAAATATTTTTGGAATTAAAAGGAAAACAATTGAAAGTTAAATATTTTTTTGTGTGGATTCTAAACGAAACTTCCAAGGAAAATTACCAAAAAAAAAAGAATAGTTTTGTTTTTGTGTGCTGCCACTGTGGTGTTTACTGCTTTGCTTGCTTGGTTGCTGTTCACAGAGCTAGGAGGAACGCCCACTTAAAAATATAAAAACGAAGGCGTAAAAATATATATTTTTTTCGAATAGTCATTAATCCAAGCCCCGTAGTATAAATGAAGTAAGTGTCCAGCGATATGGGTTGAGGTGGCGTTGCTTTTGCTGTGTTTTCGTGTAAATATAGAAATTTAATTTATTGCCTTTGCTTTTCTTCTTGCAGTTGATATTGAAATGGCTGCCTTAAGTGACACGCCCACACCCACTCCAACAATACCCAGCGTCTCGATTAAAGTAGAACAGGGTGTGTTGAATGATGATGATGAAAACAACTTTGAATATGGGAGTGGTGGTAATTACGGAGACCGTAGTAACAACAATTCAAACGCAAATAGGTGTAGCGGTCCCACAGCTTATGATGCCGCCAAGACTTTTCACAGAGATATACAAATAAAAAATGAGCCACCCATTGACATAAATGATTTCTACGAAAAGACCAACATGAATGACGATATGAAGTCGATGTGGTCGCCTTATGTCAGGCCAACTGGTGGCATGTCTCCGATGATACGATTGACGCCCACTGCAAAACTAATGCCATCACCAAATCCTGCGAATCCCAAAAAACGCTACGAATGTCCCTATGAGAATTGTACCAAAAGTTATGGTAAAAGTTCACATCTGCGTTCACATTTAACCTGGCACACCGGTCTGAAGCCTTTTGTGTGCAAAGAATGTGGCAAAGGATTTACACGTTCCGATGAACTAAATCGTCATATACGAACGCATACTGGAGAGAAACCATTCGAATGTGCTACATGTCACAAGAAGTTCGCACGAAGTGATCACCTGACAAAACATTTGGCAACACATACCAAACAAATATTGGGCATGATGGCAGGTGATGGTTCGGGATCCACTATGCAACCAACGACAGCATCACCACCTAAAATGCCTAAAGTTGAATCATATTCACCGCCCCAATTGCTAAGAAAACAACTTACTAGGCCCCCGCCACAAGCAGATAGGAAATCACTACAACCACCACCACCACCGCCACCCTTCAATAATGGTGTTTTGTATAATAACCCTGATGCAAATGCTCGTGATATTCAGGTAAATAGACAAGTTGCTGTTAAGACCGAACAATTAGATCCCGAAATACATATTCGATCAATGTTAAATAAAAGTCCCGAAACCATTTGCATAACGCCTCAAATCGATAGGCAAATGGTTGCTATTAAGACCGAAGAGTTAGATCCCGATATACATATTCGATCAATGTTAAATAAAAGTCCTGAGAATATTTGCATAACACCACGCATTGATATGGTGGTGGTTAAAGAAGAAAAAATGGAATTTGAAGGGAATTTTGAGAATCAAACACACGAATATTGTATGCCAGCAAATGTACAAACAAATTTGCCTGAAAAATGTAAAAGTACTGATATGCTGCATCATCCGAGATCTATGGATAACTACCTACCACCCCCTCCTCATCCGCAGCCGCATCCTGTGCACATAACACCTACATTTGATGTGCTCGTCGCACCATATCAGGATATAAAAGTCAAAGAAGAGATGATATATAACGATGATGAACCCGACGACAATGCAATTATGCCAGAAGCCAATTTGCCACCCATGCCGCCAATGTCACGAACGAAAACTACAACTACATTCAAACCCATCAAAATTCCCGCACAATCACGCCCATCCTTTCCTAAAGATAAACCCGTCAAAAGGCGGGAGTATTCAACACTGAATGATAATGAGAGACGACACGCCTGTCAACAATGCCCCAGAAAATTTAAACGACCCGATGAACTTAAGCGTCATATACGCGTTCACACCGGTGAAAAGCCCTATGCCTGCAATGAATGTGAAAAACGTTTTATGCGTAGTGATCATTTAAAGAAACACATGAACGGTCACACAAGGATAAGATGATTAGAACAAGAACAACAAAAAGACAAAAAGAAGTCGATGACAAGAAAAAGAAGGCCAATAACTCGATAATGTTTGTACAAAAAGAAAAAGTATTGTTTTTTTGTTTCTTCTTTAGAAATTAAGGGTGGGAGAGAAGTGAGTCAAGTTAAGACTTTAAACAAAATTTTGTAAAAAATGGAAATGGAAATTGCAATATTCTGGATAATATACATACATATATGTAGATGTTTATACAGGTACAGGTGGTTTTTGCAAAATTCCAATATCTATTTTTTAGTTTACTATTATTTTTGCATATTTATTTAGTTTAAATTATTGTTAGTATTTTTCTTTTTTTAATATAAGAAATATTTATTTAAGTTTGTGAATTAGCATTCATAGAGTATTATTTTAAAATGCAATAATAAATATTATGTTATTATACGCATATATATGTTTAAAACAAAATATGTATGTTATTCCATTAAAAATAGTTTAGGTTAATATATAGAGGTTTTAGTTTTCAGATGTGTTGAATGGGGTCTCCATTGAGATGCTGAAAGGTTTCTTTATAGATTCCCGTCTATATAGACGAGCTGAAGAGTGTTTATAGACAAGCTAAAGGGAGACTTTATGGACAAGATGAAGTGAGTGTTTGTATACGAGACGAAAGGAGTTGTTGTAGATGAGCTCAAGCGATCCTTTATATTCGAGCTAAGGGAGACGTTATATACGAGCTGAAGGACGTCTTCATATTTTGATTTTTGAAATTCTTCTATATGTGTAGAAGTTTTCGTTTCTCTTCTAGAAAGTTGTTGTTGTTGTAGCAGCCCTATTGCTTTTACACAATGGGCTGAGGTGACAGACGTTGGCCGAGTAAGACTCGGGTCGTTTCGGATCGTAGACCCCTCTGTCGTGGAAACGCTTCTAGAAAGTGGGAGTGGTTGCTGCCGTCAAATATTAATAATAGTCAAATAACTTTTGTATATACATAATTCTTGTTTATATAAATTTTAGCTACAGAAACTTGTTCGCTACCATATACCATAGCCATGCTAGCCAAGCACTTCACGAAACGTCTGTAGCCACCGTTTGTCATGTTACGCCCCTTTTTTAATATTCCTCTTCCCAGTGAACATATTCACCGCCTTGTTGTTGTAATTTGTAAAACGGACATTTGGCGTGTCTGCCGGAATGTTCGCTGTGATGGCCTGGTTTTACGCACACACATACACATTTCACATGTCATCATACCATGGTAGATTAAAATACAAATCCAAATTATATTGGGTTTTTGAGTTCGATGTGGTGCACAATCTACGGTAAGGTAGGTGATGGTAGCTGTGCCACCACAGTAAAGGGTCTTTGCATCGAGCAGTAAACACACTCTCGCACACAAACACACACACATATATACTCAGGCAGACATTCCTGCTAAATGTGTTTTATTTAGCGAAGAATGGTGGGTTTATTTTTTTTTTTTTGTGTTTTTCGTTTGAATTCTGGCCGGCAGCGCTGCTTGCCACACCTACCTCTATACCTTTTCTGTTCCGTTGAGTGGTTCATTGTGTGTTCTTGGATTTTTTTAGGGCGTTGAACGATGTTGTTGTTGCTGTTTTTTATTATTATTTTTCATCTAAATGGGGAGTGGTTGGTTTGAATTTTTTCCGCTTTAGTCTTGTTTGCCTTCTTTGTGTTGCTGATGGCAAGCAAGCAAAGCAAAGAATAATGTTTTTTTTTATTAAAAGTATAAGGCATGGTTCAGTGGTTGGAAATGGTTTTAAAAAATTTCTTATTTTTAGATATGACAAGGTGGTGGTAAGGGGGAATGTTAAGAAGAAAATTCTTTTAATTTCCAAAGAAAAATTTTGAAATTATCTAACGTTTCCGTACTTGGAAAAATGGTAAAACTTTTCAAGTTGGTGGAGGGAAAATCAAAAATGATTTCGACTAATAGAAGATTTTTGCTGATACATTGTACAAAATTGTGTGTTAATCGAACGAACTTTGGGTCTTTAGTCCACAATTTCACGAAACTTAGCACACATATTTTTAGACTTAATCCGGTAAACTATGACAAATTTTGTGCAAATCGAATCATATATAAGGGTCTTGGTGGAACCATTCACATAAATCGGACGAAAATATATGTGGGAGCTATATCTAAATCAGAACTGATTTTCACGAAACTTGGCACCCATATTTCTTGACTCGACTCAGTACACTATGTTAAATTTCGTTCAAATCGAAATATATAAAGGGACTTTGGTGCACCATGTACAGAAAATCGGACGAAAATATATACGGGAGCTATATCTAAAACTGAACCAATCTTCACGATGCTGAGCACACATCATTCTAGACTCGATACAGTACGCTGTAGAAAATGTCGTGTAAATCGAAAGATATATAGGGACTTCCGCGCACCATTTACATAGAATCGGATGAAAATATATATGGGATCTATATCTAAATCTGAACCGATTTTCACGAAACTTAATACAGTACCATATGCCAAATTTCGTGCAAATCGAAAGATATATAGGGACTTTGATGCACCATTTACATAAAATCGGAAGAAAATATATTTGGGAGCAATATCTAAATGTGAACCGATTTTCACGAAACTTAGCACACATCATTCTAGACTTAATTCCGTACCCTATGCCAAATTTCGTGCAAATCGAATGATAATAGAGATTTTTTTGTACCATTAACATGAAATCGAACGAAAATATATATGGGAGCTATATCTAAATCTGAACCGATTTTCACGAAACTTAACACACATCATTCTAGACTTAATTCAGTACGCTATTCCACATTTCGTGCAAATCGAAAGATATAAAGGGACTTTGGTGCGTGCTCCATTTACAGTAAATCGGACGAAAATATAGATGGAATATATATTTAAATCTGAACTGATATTCACGAAACATAACACACATAATTGTAGACTTAATTCAATATGCTATGCCAAATTTTGTGGGGGATTTGCATAATATCTGACGAAAATATATATGGGAGCTATATCTAAATCTGAACCGTTTTTTCCCAATTTCAATTAGGTTCGTCCTTGGGCCAAAAAAATGAGCTGTACCAATTTTCATTCAATTCAGATCATAAATACTTTGTATTCAATTTAACGTGGACAGTCAGTCGGACGGACAGACATGCATAAATCGAGTCAGAAAGTGATTCTATGGAATAATGTGTCTATCTCGTTTCCTTTTGTCTGTTCCACAGTGTGGTGAGGGGTATAAAAAATAGATTTTAGAGGACATAGTCGGTCAAGTACGAATGCTGATTGTTGAGGTTAATAAGCCAAAATAAAGTGACCGTCTTTCGATTGGAGATGGTTTTAAATTGGGCTTACTGATTGTGGGTACTATGGCCGTCTTCGACTGAAGATGTGTACCAGTCAGGGATTCCTCGATTTATGAACTATATTTATGTGACCTCAGTAGTTTGCAACAGTGCGAAATATTGGTCTAGGTCTGTGTGTCCATAATAAATTGTAATCAAAAGGCAAACGACAATTATGGACCGATCTAGGTGTAATTTGCTCTGATCATATCTAATTCCTTTGCAGAGATTCTTCGTCATCATCATTAATGGAACCAGACCCCATTATCCAAATCGGCACGCCACCTATTTTCATGAATAATAGGAGTGGATAACGACAAGTTGAGGACTGTAGTAGGGGAATTGAGGGCGACCTTACTATCCTCAAATTATTTTTTGAATAAAATTTAAAATTTGAATATTAAAAAAAACGAATGAAACACCTAACACACATTAACATAATAAACTTAATTTTATTATTGAATAAAAATATACACAGTTCAAGAATGGGAATTAATAATAGGAGTTATAATTAGTATATATATTTAAGAAAGGACGTTCATGTTTTTTTATATTTTTTATAAGCAGAGATTATATACTATGTGCTGATAATGCCTGTACTCACATTTGCTCCGACAGACTGAAGAAATTCCAAAACAAACAAACAAAAGAAATCTTTATATTTACATACATGCAAAACTAACTAAAGAACAAAACCGTCTTGTTGTAACGTTTATTTGGCCTTTTTTGTTTTTTTGTGGTGTTTCTTCGATTTCGAATCTTGACGATTCTCAACATCGATTTTGTTGTGTTCTATAGGCGCTGTGGTGGTGGCAGACAAATCAAACGATTCACGAAACAATTTCAAACTTTGTTCGTGTGCCTCAGCTACATCGGCCAAATTTTTGGCTGCCCCATGGCCGCGATTGTTCGACTCAAAGGCATTACAATTTTCTGGGTCCATTGACGATTGTGATTGATAGTAGTCATAGTTGAAGGCCGAAGCAATTGCATCGGTCGATGGAAATGAACTAATAAAGTCATCATCTTCAATGGGTTCATAGATCGATTGATTGAGAAATTGTGTTACTGAAGATGTATAAAGATTCTTATTGGCAAACTTTAAAGAATTATTATTATTTGTACAGCTGTTGTTACCATTGTTGTTGTGGTTGGGATTCATAGCATAGGCGGCCAGAGAACTTAGTGCTGTTGTCGGATTAATGTTGGATGTTGGCGATGTGAGACGTTGCAAAACAAAACTATCAACAAATGTGGAACTGTTATTGATGTTTGTGGCTTGCCCTGGTCAGAATTTTAAGTCTTTAATGGCTTGAGGCAAATCGGGCAGTTTAATATCCTTGATTTGCTGTGGAATGTTCATACTCTTCACGGCACTAACGGCACGGGCGGGCGCCGCTGATATACCAGCTTCTTGCTTCACCAATTTATTTTGTTCTTCGATTCGGGCCATTATATCCGACATATTTGTCTGCAAAACCATACCGCCCATAACCAATTCGGCAAGGATATGATGTACGGCATCAGCGTGGAAGATCAAGTCCAATTCGCAGACATTTTCAAAACATTTGTCCAGTGTTTCTACAAACACCTGAATGAGATCCAAAATTCCCAGTTCACTTTCTGACGAATCGACGCAGAAAACAAAATACAGCGTGGCATAATGGCGATAGATTAGCTTATAATCTGAGCCACCAATCAGGCTGAAATGGCCAAACACATAAAATTAGTTAATGCATCCCCAAACAGAAAATATAATTGTATACACACCTGCCACCTTCCAAAAAATTGCACACATTATCATCTCGCTTGGATACCAATTGGAATGTTTCCTTTATGATTTGCTGCTGCATATCCTCATTCTGTAAACACAGACAAAAATTTTCCAAAACCAAAAATTTGACCAATTTTTTGTTAGTGTATAAATCAATGAATCCCACTTACAAAGTATTGATAGAATTTTGAGAGGCGCGGTTTGCCATGATTATTAAAAACTAAAATAGCTTTTATCATTATTAATTGTTCTTTAAACTAATCAACAAAACAAATTTTCACAAAATATTGTGAAAAATAAGAAAGCATATAGAGTGCCTCGTATTAAGAACCGACCGAAATTAAAAACGTTCCGCCTGCTACGAAGAGGTGGAGAGAAAAAAGGTAATAAAAATGGAACTCAAAGCAAAATTATTGTTTACGAATGAAGTGAGAAGCATATGGCCGACGTCAACAATCAACAGCTGATATTTGCATATGTTTAAACGGTTAAAGTGCGTTTAGATACGCCTGCCTAATCGACTAGATTTGTAAATTAAAATGATAAAAAAAGTGGCAGAAGAAGCCACTACAACGTAATATTCGTGTCCATATAAGTATGACAAATTATGTTTTAAAAAATTAGCCAACAGAAAAATTGGGTACACACAATTCGAAATCTTTCTTTATTCAATGAACGCAATCTGCCTGCTGGGAAATTTGAAAAAGCAAATCTTTCTTAATGGAATAACTCGCAATTTCCAGCATTTTCATATTTGAGGTATCCAATATATTTGTTTTTTTTTTTAAATAAATATTTTTTTTATAATATCTATTCTGTGTTTACATTTTTGATTAAATGACGTTCACACTAGTATTATATAAAACAACAAATTTCCATGTGGTTGTTGTATCATTGTTTGTAAAACACTTGCTGTTAACTTATATTAGGTTCGGTTACTCATTCATAAAAAAATAGGTTTACTCAATAATTTGTACAAATTATTACAAAATGTTGTTGGTTTACCCAAAAATTAAAAGAGAGTGAATTGAGTGAGCAGATTTGGCAGTTGCGTTACTGAGTATTTGCAAATTTTTACAAGGAAAGAATTTTTTTTTGTACCATCAGCTTTTGCACCATCAGCTGTTTTGTAAACAAGCAACAAAATTGTCCTCAGGCTAGTTAGTTGATTTGTGAATTTTATTTTGATTTTGTATCATAAAACCCAAGATGAAGAAAATGCAAGTATTTTAAACAACATAAACTTTCCATTTTTTTATTTTTTTAATAAAATGCTGCTTTTTTGTTTATGCCAACTTGTTTGTTGTTTTAATCAGCTGTGTCAATACAATCTTTTTACTGGATGTTGTTCGTCTACTTTTTTGCGTTTTTCTCTCTCCGCACATTAGGGCACAGACGTCAAAAATGTGCGCGTCACTCAACGAAAAATTAAACCAGTAAGGAAAGTAGTCGGACAGGGACGACTATATGATACCCTTCACCACTTTGGGTATATTCAACAGATGAATCCTAACAGACGTAGCATTTTTAGAGGATCAGTAAAATGAAATTGGATCCATAAACATGCCATTCTGCAACCGATATTAAATTTTTCATTTGGTCAGATATAGAAGCTATATCTTAATCTGAACCGATTTTCAGGAAATTTTACACTCATCATTCTAGAACTAAATCAACTCAGAAAGTGATTCTATGCATATTCTAAAAAGGAACCATGTGTCTATCTCGTTTCCTTTTGCCTGTTTTGGTACGTTTATGTCAATTCGTACCTTTTGTGAACAAAAAGTACGCTTGTTACAAAATTAAAAATAGCGCAACTCTAATTACTATCAATTTTCCAATGAGAGAGAGAGAGAAAAACTCACAACACCAATCCCAATCACCAACAGTGTAAAACCCCGCAAACAACAGCTGATTGACCGGCATGTCGATGCTTGTCCACATAGGTTCATTTTAGTGATTAAGTTCATGGAAGAGCTGCGGATTAACCACAACCATCATGGAAAACATATTGACTACACAAAAGTTTAAATGCAGGTATGTTATTCTAATTTCCGATTATTGTTTATATTCAAAATGTAATTGTTTTTTTGTTTTAGTGTCAGCTCAGTTTTAAATAAAGACACAAAACAACACGGCAAACAATATCTGTACGACGAACAAGATGATACAGCATGGAGTTCAAATGAAGTTGAGTTTACTTTATTTATGTTTAATTATATATACTATTAATTAATTCATTATACCATTATTTATAGGGTACCCCCCAATATATACACATAGAATTTGAGGAGTTGCAAACAATATCATCGTTTGCATTTCAATTTCAAGGTGGTTTTGCTGCAAAAGATGCTAAGGTAGAGATTCACGGTGCGGATAATGGAGTAGCATATGAACAACCATTCTATGCCGAGGATATTAATGCGGTACAAAGCTTTGAACTTAAAGAACCTCAAAGCAATGTGAAGAGAGTAAAATTTGTATTTAGTTCAAGTACAGACTTTTTCGGTCGTATTATTGTCTATAATTTAAGAATATTTAAGTAATTTTGTTAATTTTTTCTTGAAATATGTAAATATTGTTTTTTTTTACAATAAAGTGTACATTATTTTATAAGTTTTAGACTATTTGTGTTGGATTATCGCATTTGAAATAAAAGTCTGCGATACAAAAGAACTCATTTCATATACGATATATCAATAATTTAACTATTAATGTGTATTATAATGAGTAGAACGATATTTCCAAAACTGATGTTTAATCAAACTTAACTTAGAGACTACGGAAATTGCAATTCAAATTACATGTTTAGCAAATTGCAGGAAGCCTGTGAAACAATAGTAATCACTGCTATTATAAAAACGTTTGGAATTAGGAAATGTAAATCATGGTACAATTATTCAAGGTAGACCATAGCAACTTATAAATTACAATTTTGTCATACTGTGGCTTCTTATGCCAAAGTCACATACAAAATGTGTGACTTTGTGTGAACTGTTTTGGAAAATATATTCGAAAATCGGTTTGTTTGAAGATGAATTTTGCAACATTTTTAAGACGAAATTTATGATCTGTGAATGAAACAACATGTAAGTCATATCCCCAACTCGATTTTGAAAAGAAAACCTGACATTCCATTCATTTTTCAAGTTTTTGGTAAAATGTTAAAAATATAATAATGGAGTAGCATATGAACAACCATTCTATGCCGAGGATATTAATGCGGTACAAAGCTTTCAACTTAAAGAACCTCAAAGCAATGTGAAGAGAGTAAAATTTGTATTTAGTTCAAGTACAGACTTTTTTGGTCGTATTATTGTCTATAATTTAAGAATATTTAAGTAATTTTGTTAATTTTTTCTTGAAATATGTAAATATTGTTTTTTTTTTACAATAAAGTGTACATTATTTTATAAGATTTAGACTATTTGTGTTGGATTATCGCGTTTGAAATAATAATCTGCGATACAAAAGCACTCATTTCATATACGATATATCAATAATTTAACTATAAATGTGTATTATAATGAGTAGAACGATATTTCCAAAACTGATGTTTAATCAAACTTAACTTAGAGACTACGGAATTTGCAATTCAAATTAAATGTTTAGCAAATTGCAGGAAGCCTGTGAAACAATAGTAATCACTGCTATTATAAAAACGTGGGGCAACAACAAAGCGAAGAATGACAAAAGGAAACGTTGGAGCTTAGGAAATGTAAATCATGGTACAATTATTCAAGGTAGGCCATAGCAACTTATAAATTACAATTTTGTCATACTGTGGCTTCTTATGCCAAAGTCATATACAAAATGTGTGACTTTGTGTGAACTGTTTTGGAAAATATATTCGAAAATCGGTTTGTTTGAAGATGAATTTTGCAACATTTCTAAGAAGGAATGTATGATTTGTGAATGAAACAACATGTAAATCATATCCCCAACTCGATTTTGAAAAGAAAACCTGACATTCCATTCATTTTTCAAGTTTTTGGTAAAATGTTAAAAATATGTCAAATTTGTTTTCATTTATTCTGACATTATTGCCTATAAGGTAGAGGTGCATTTTCTCTCTTGTATCATGATGCAATAATAAGTTGATGTATCAAAAGAAAAACCTTTGTTTTTGTCAATTTTTTTCTTATAATATTTCACATGGTTGGCAACATTTCACATCGAATTCAAGTAGAAATTACCCACTTTGACAGTTAATCAAGACATCAGCTGCGCTAAATGGACAATCTATTCATTGTGCCATGAATTGCACCATTAAACAGGAATACCAACTTCTGATTGGCTGTTATGCTGATTTTGAAGTATTGCCAACTAATTTTGCCATATTTACTAGATTTGCGTTCCCGAACTTTTAAAATTATTTTGTACTCTGAGAGCAATTTTGAAATGTTTCCTTTTTACTAGCTTTCCTATTAAAAAAGTACTGGAACAGACTATGTTTTTTTATATTTGCCAAAATCGCTTACATGGTATAATAAATTTTTTTAAATAAATTTGTATAAATAAACAATGATTGTTATGTATAAGTAGCGACTTAATTTAGTAGTAATGATTTAATATATTATCATATTTGAGTCTAGTACAAATTAAAATATTTTTTATTTTTTTTATATATATAAGGTAATTGGCATACATAATTCTATACTGAGTAGCTATGAAATAAGGTGGAATCTTTGTAAATAACTTTAAATTGGCCTCATGAATTGTAAATTGGCTTAAATTGCAAAGGAATCGAATAAATAAAATAAATAATAGAAGGTAAAACGGTCAACTCATTTGACGGAAAAATGTAAACAAACAAACAAATTATCATCAAATTATTTTTATTTTGAAAATGAAATATTTTCGAATCCTCAAAATAAAAATTGAAAAACATGAATGAAAATCTATCAAATTTATATTTCTATCTATTCCACATCTTTCCTATAATTGCGCCATTGCCATATATATGTGTAACACATATGAAAATGCTGGGAATAGTGATTTGCTTCCTCAAACTTTCCCAGCAGGCAGACTGAGTAAATTGAATACAGAAGCACATTTAATAAAGAACAATTTTAAAAACATAATTTGTCAAATTCATATTGACACTAGTATTACGTTGGAATCAAATCAGCTGGGATTTGCTGTTACCTTTTATAATTGTACCATGAATCGCTTACAAAATGTGTGACTGTATGTTATGTTTTGAAAAATATTGAAAAAAAGTTCTAAAATCCATTTGTTTAAAGATGAATTTTACAACATTGGTAAGATGAAATGTGTGATTTGTAAATAAATCAATATGTAATGTAAATCATATTCCTAATAGGATTTTGAAAAAAAAAACATCAAATTCCATTAATTTTTCGCGTTTTTGGTAAAATATTACAAAATCAAACTGAATTTATACTGAGTTAAGCAATTTCAAATGGCAATGCTGAAGAAAATAAATTGATTGTTGTCAAACTTGTTCTCTTTTGAACTTGTTTATCAGTTTCAAAAAAAAAAAAAAATTTTAATCAAATTTATAAATAAAAGGAAAATTCAACAATTCCCCTTGCCCCTCTCTTATTCAAGTAAAAATCTAAATCAAGACATTGTTGTCAAACTTGTTTACGTTTATGAAAATCAAATTTATAAATAAAGGAAAATTCAACAATTATTCAAATTGGGAGCTGTTTTACTATCGTTATAGCTGATTTTCTTCCTTTCTGCAATGTATCAATTTCATAAAGACGCAATACCAAAAAATATTGAAAACAAATGCCTTCTTCTTCCTTCCACACAGACAAACAATAGTTTTGAAACAAAAAATTGTTTCATAAATGCAGAAACTCTCGTCTGTCAGGGGTAAATATTAATACAAATTAAGAACTTTTTAAGACTACTGCATAGCCAGCTATTACATAGTTGGCTTTTTTAATTTATTTTTTATTTCAAATTTATTTATGATACAAAGCCTAAAGGCCATTAATACGTATCTGCTGACAAATATACAAAGCCTGAGATACATTATATATTAAACTTAAATAAATATAACTAAATTTAACTTACCTTCCTTTATCAACTTGTTCCTTACATCTCACTTTCCTACAAAACGCAATAGTATTAGGTTAACATACATATATAAAATATATTATATAACAAAAATCTATCTTTACAAAAATATATGCATTTTTACCATTATGTGTTGATGGTGATACGTTACTTCTTCACGACGCCACTAATCGCTTATTTTCGAAATTATAATTTTTTTGTTATGGCAATGCCATAAAAATTAACTACAACCAACTTCGTGTTTCCTTTTCTCTTTCTTTCGAAACGTGGAAAACATCAATATTGGTTGGTTTTCTCGTATTTTTTACAAAAATAATTTTGCAATGTAAGTTTTTTTGAATGGAATACCGACCAAAATGTCGCTACATGACTAACATGCTGCTCTTCACCTCGATATTTTACAGATGCCCCGCGAAATCAAAGAAGTTAAGGATTTCCTGAACAAGGCCCGTCGTGCCGATGCTCGTGCCGTCAAAATAAAGAAGAACCCCAGCAACACCAAATTCAAGATCCGTTGCTCCCGTTTCTTGTACACCTTGGTCGTCCAAGACAAAGAGAAGGCCGAGAAAATCAAGCAATCCCTTCCCCCAGGTTTGCAAGTTAAGGAAGTCAAGTAAATTTGCTTGACTGACTGACCTCCCAGCGCCAGCTTTGCAAAATTATTCTATAGTTGTTGCTTTGTATGGAATGTGAAGACGGACAGACAGACGATGTTTGCCCGTTGGAGCGGAGAGTGTTTGGATAACTAAGGTGTATTTTAATTAGTTTGTATTTCAACCTGGGAACTGCATTTGTTTTTAAAATGCAGATTTATAACCATCATAAAAATGTCAACAACAACAAATAGCACCTTAGTAAAGCAGATATTTTTTTTGTAAAAAATATACATTCTTCATTAAAGAATACAACAACAATGTTGTAATAATTTAAAAAAAGAAATTACAGTGATTGTGTTTTTTTGTTTAATTTTGGGTGCAACGTGTTGTGTATTTGTTTACATTGTAATGGAAGTGACAGTTGCAACAATAACAAGAGTGCCAGCCGGTATTTGTACCATGTTGCTTTGAGATGTGTTTCGGATCTTGTGATTGGAAGTGTATCAATTTTATGTTGTGTTGTAAATATTTAAACCATTAAATTTGCAATAATAGATTCCAATGCTATAAATCAAATTTGTCGGAATCTGACGTTATTAACAAAACGAGACAAAATTATCACATGGTTTTTTTCTAGCATGCTAAATGTTTTCAAATAATTTTGAATTTCGATTATCATAATTTTTGGAGTAGACTCTCATGTTGGCTCATGTGGGCTGTGTAAACGATATTTTTATGTAATGAAATTAGGTTTAATAGGGTTTCCAATGACAGGTCCATCGAACGTGGCTTTAAATGTTTAACATAATGAGAAATATCTGTAAAGTGAAGGTAAAATATATGTTTTCATGACATATTTTTTATACCCTCCACCATGGTATGGGGTGTATATTCATTTTGTTTTCCCGTTTGTAAGTCATCGAAGCAATCATTTCCGAACCTATAAAGTATGGAACAACTCTAGTTTAGTAAAAACGACCCGATTTTTTTGAAATTTTTTTCCAGAGGTAAGTATTTTGACCATAAATATGGGAATGTTTTTTTTTTTCTTGGGGGGCGTACCCGGTTTTACGGATCCGATTAATGCAAATCATTTTAAAGGTTTTAAAAATACCTTTCCAATGAGTGGTGATATGATGGGGTTATCTCAAACCGTTTTGGAGATTTGGATTTTGGACCCCTATTTTTTTGAAAATCTCCCTAAAAGTCGAACTTTGTTCTATTATGGTCCCTCTCAAATCCTGACTCACAATTTGCTCTTTCCAAAATGGTACGGCATGTGGCTGTATCTATTGTGGATCAAAAGATATTGGTCTTAGAACCCTGCAAACCGACTATGTAAAATTCATGTTTAGTATTAACATGAATGTCTATATGCAAATGCAAAGATATGAGTAATAAGTTCAACGAAAAAAGTTCTAATCGTTCTATTTGTTGTACAACAGCCTTCTAGTGTAAATATATTTGCATCCTTTAAGTTTAATATGTATAAGCATAAAGTATAAATATATATACCGTTATAAGAAAGGCGATGTAAACAAAGAATTAAGAAGAAACAAGCAATATGAATGCGTTTGATTTGTACGACTTATTTAACCGCGATTTTTCGGGTCCGGTACCCGAAAATGCGTTAAACAAAATAATTGAGTGGGACATTATCCCCAAAGAGGGGAAATTAAAATGTGACAGGAGCCATTCTTTAAGAATGGCAAAAAGTTCAACAACAGTGGATGGCTGGGTTTGGCGGTAAGGGCCACAAAAGAGTCGGGACGTGCAGGGTGAGCCACATTCGGAAAGGAACTTTTTTGATGGTTCCCACCTATCAGTCTTGCAGATTTTGACAATCTCTTATATGTGGTGCCTCAATTTACCTGTGTCCTACATAATGCAGGAAACAAATATAAGTGGATTGCAATCGGGAACCGATTGGAACAATTTTTGTAGAGAAGTTGTCGTGTACATCTCATTCAAGATCGCATAATTTTAGGAGGACCAGGTAAAATAGTGGAAATTGACGAATCGAAGATCGGAAGGAGGAAATATAACCGAGGGCATTGGGTTGAAGGACAGTGGGTGTTTGAAGGGGTAGAGCAGGGATCTAATAAATGTTTTATAGTCCCTGTTGAAGATCGGTCGCGGGAGACCCTTCTACCCCTCAAAATAAGGTATATTCGTCCTGGGACAATCATTATTTATTTCTGGAGGGTAAGCATTTATTATAAATTCTATATAAGATATAAATTTAATTATTTTTTTTTATTTTAGGCGTCTGACACACTGACGGACGAGGGTTTCACCCACTTTAAAGTGAACCATTCCGCCAACTTTGTTGACCCTGTAACAGGTCAACACACAAGTACAATAGAAAGCCTGTGGCGTCACTTGAAGGCGTCCTTACCTGAGTACAGGCGCAAAAAATTATTTTTAACGGCTATCTTCAGAAGTTTATTTTTATAAGTTGGTGCAACATGTGCAAAAAGGATAGGTTCCTACAATTCTTAAAATACGCGGGGAAGTTGTATGACCCCACAAATCCAAAAGCTGAGGAAGAGAGGAAAATTTTTTTGGTGGAGTCCGGGGAAACGGAAATATAATTAGAAATTTGAGAATATATTTTTATTTTTAATAAATATGCTTTTAGTTTTAATACGTATATATATATATATATATACCATTTTTTTAAATGGGAATAGTTTTCTGGGTAGCCGGCCTTCGGCCGGGGATTTAAGACTTTCTCCTATGGACAGGTACCAACACCGGCTACGCGACAGAATTTTCTTGTTTTTGTAGGGTTCTAAGGCCCATATCTTTTGATCCACAGCAGATACAGGCACATATCACACCATTTTGGAAAGGGTCGATCATTTGAGTCAGGTTTGGAGAGGGACTATAATGGATCCAAGTTCGACTTTTAGGGAGTTTTTCAAAAAAATAGGGGTCCAAAATCCAGTTTGGCTGTATCTCCAAAACGGTTTGAGATAACCCTATCATATTACCACTCATTAAGGTAAGGTATTTTTATAACCTTTAAAATGATACCCATTTTGTATTAATCGGATCCGTAGAACCGGGTACCCGTACCCGAACTTCCGGGTCAAATAACCGGGTACGTCCCCCAAGAAAGAAATATATTCCCATACTTAGGGTAAAAATACCTACCTCTGGAAAAAATTTCAGAAAAATCTGGGGGGTTACTCTGTATTGCGTTGGAAAAGCAAGTGCGATGCGAAAGCTAAATGCGTTAAAAGTACAATTTGGTACTCTGTAACGCTCGCGCAAACGCATTCGCAAACTAAATCGAAAATAGGGCAACACTGTCGCCACAAAGTAAACAACAACGAAGAATGACAAAAGGAAACGTCAAAAAATTTTAAATAAAAACATATTTTTTGTGTGGTACGAGTATTTTTTGAAACAAAAATATGAACGAATTAAAAACAAAAAAAGAATTTTATGAGATCGATCAAATATAATCTCCCTAAGTGACCACGGGTATTAAAATAGAAGTTCGAATTATGTGACAAACGTTTTCAAATATTTAATTTTTATAGATTTATACAAAATGTTCGTCTCAATAAAGATTTGTTTATGTATTTATTAAACGCTCGTCTTTCCAAATAGATCCGCAACAATTCCAACTCCAATAAAAGAGGCCGCTGCTTTGAAATTGCTTGGACAAGGTGGTTATCAACACCAACCTGTAAATATGCACACATAGTTTCACATATTATATAAAAATATAATAAATTACTTTTTCCAACCATCGACATCTTTTACAGGAGGTCAATTTGAACTGATGCCATCAGACAGTTTTTCCACAAATTGTTGGCGCGTTGTTTCGAATTTGAACTCTGCAACTGTCCCTTTGCCAAATCACTGTGTTGCCCCATAAAATCTACTGAAGTTAGGAACTGACGTTGCTGAGTCTGCCACTGTGACTTTTTTGCCTTTTACTTAAAATAATTTACAATTTATATATAAATAAAACCTTTAATTGGGCTTACTTATATGTTTCGCTTCCTTTGCGTTTGCTATTTTGTTAACGCAAGATATTTGCGCTTAACGAACGAGTTTGACATGCGTTTCGTATTACAGAGTGCGGTGATGCCACATTTGCGTAAAGTAGATGCGAAAGGTGATACGAAAACGAATTAGAGAATACCAATTACGCGATGCGTTACAATTTTTCTCACGCATCGCAATACAGAGTAACCCCCCTGATCGACTTAGCATACTATGGTTCGGAGGCGTCGAAATGTGCTTCACAAAGATGATATAAATTCAATTTTAATTGAATGTTGATAGGAATCGAAATAGGTGTAGAAAACAAAACATAGTAATTATAATGGTAAAAATAAATAAAATGTTACTGTAGAGTTGCTTAGTTTTGTCCAAGCAAAAATTGAGACAATTTCTGGCAATTCGTTTTGTGTATTTCGTATTTGTTGACATTTTATATATATTTAAATGTGAAAAAACAACAAATAGAAAAATATATTGGAAACCGAATTGCCTTGTATAGACGCATGAAGCAAGTTCAAAATAGAACGACAAGAATTGCCGCAAGTAAACTCGCCTAATCTAAATCAAGACTAATATTTATTTCATAATGAATTTTGCAATAATGTTTTTGTGTTTTTTTTTTTAAGTGAATAAAGTATCCGATTTTAAATTGAAAAGCCAACACTTGCAATTTTAGTTGCTTTAGTTTTTGCCACCAGTGTATTTATTTTTATGGCTTCATTCTATTTTTATGAAAGCAAAATTTGTTAATAATATTTATTTATGTTTAGCATGTAATTTATCTCAGGCTATGTATTTTTTGTTAGCAGATACATATTAATGACCTTTAAGATAAATAAATTTTAAAATAAATAAATTAAGTAAGGTCGAGAAAGATGCACATTCAGATCAACTTTTATTGTCATGCATTTTAAGTCAAACAAATAATATTTTCTAATAATTCTAATTTCTAATTCTAACTGACTGTCATAGTACTTCGGTTTTTAATTTTATTGGCGATAAATT